TATTAGTATTATTAGTATTAGTATTAGTAGTATTAGTATTAGTATTAGTATAAGTATTAGTATTAGTAGTATTAGTATCATTAGTATTAGTATCATTAGTATTAGTATTAGTATTAGTAGCATTAGTATTAGTACTAGTATCATTAGTATTAAAAACATTAGTACTAGTAGTATTAGTATTAGTATTAGTAACATTAGTATTAGTATCATTAGTATTAGTAGTATTAGTATTAGTATTATTAGTAGTAGTAAAAGTGTAGTTGCTCAGCCTGCTGTCATATTTCTGTCTCAGTGTCAATCGATTGTTAATATTGATCCTGAACCTTTCCAGATGTGTTACAGAGGTTATTTCTGATGGAGCTACACTGATTGCCACTTAACATAGAACACAGAACTTTACTGATCAGCCAAGAACAAAAGTGGGACTGAAAGGAATAATAAACAGGGGATGTAAATATATTATTATTATTATTATTATTTTTATCTCCAATAATCAGAAAATAGTGAAAAAAGCCACAATCACAGCTTCACAAAGCCCAAACTGATGCCTTCAAACTGCTTATTTTGTCCAAAAAAACAGTCCAAACCCCAAAGATAGTCGATGCACTATGATGCTACTTACAACACACATTAGTGGAAGGAGAAAACAGACATTTTTCATCACTTTTGCTATAAAAAAAAAAACAAATAAATAAATGGTTTCAGGTCCAGTTTACCCAACAGCCTATAAACATTTATCCAACCAATAACACGGTTTCATAACCAAAAACTAGAACAAGCTTAACACTGTACTTGAATTCACGAAAGGTTGCACACACACTCAAATCCCCACGCAAGGCCCATCAACAATATAGGTCAATGTTGTTTACTGGGAGACCACTCCCCACAAATACCACCAACATCAGCATCAAAACACCCAAACCAATCACACAGGCCCGTGATGTGGAGCTTAAACGTGTGTGAGGACCAAAAAAAACACAATAAAAACACCCTCACCTGCAGAAACAGGGGTCTAGGTGCGCTGCATGCAAAGGGGCACGGAGGTCTTCAGCACCCCAGCCCCCTGTTGACACTCGCCGCTGCTCGGAGATGCTAAAGAGGCGGCGGGAGCAGGCGGGGCAGAGGGACCAGAGTGCCGGCTACGAGCGAGGAAAACCCTCTCGGACACAAACACGCAGACATAGAAACCGTAGCGATACAGGAGGTGTCAAAATGGGCGTTGCTGTACTCGCACCCTGCCTCCTCTTCCTCGTCGTCGTCGTGGATGGATGTTTTTCTCTCTCTCTCTCTCTCGCTCTCGCTCTCTCGGCTGATGCGGCACGACGAAAACGGGTTTGTGGTCGGAGGAGATGAAAGAAAAAGGAGTGCAACAGAGAGAGGAGGACGCGTTGCGCAGGTGGCCGGGAATAAATAAGAGAAGGTCATAAAATAGAGACGGGGCAGAAAGAAGAAGGCGGTGATGCTGGGCTAGCCTCGGTTGACACGACGGGAGAGGGACCAGTGTGAAGCTGGCCGGAATACGCTGCGACTCTTCCGGTTGTTCTTTTCAAAGTAAAGTATCCATTGGAGGAGTTTTTGAAGTTGATCCATCAGGTTTCTTCTTCTCCACCTTCTCCCAGTGCACCATGAAAAGCAGAATATCAACAAAATCTAGTTGAAGGGCGTCTAATATTTCAGTTCTGTGCTTGTTTGTTGCATAGTCTTAAATGAATGTGTTTAATCAAATTAGATAGATAGATAGATA